TGTTTTCGCTAAAACTCACGATTTGTTTACAAAACAAATGAAAGCAATGTTTTGCTCACAAATTACGCGATTTTCAAATGGTTTTGAAACAAAGTTTTGTCGTAAAGAATATTCTGTAAAAATACATATTTTGACTGGAAATGTGTTGAAAAGATTAGCATTTCTTACAATTAATAATTAGTAAATCAAAACTCAGTTATTTGTAGTCAAGTATTATTTAATTATTGGTTCTGTAATTAATGTTTCAAATATTTGGTATTTTCATAAATTTTTAGAAAGTATTAGAAATAATTATTTAATTTGAAAACATATTTTGTAAAATTAACTAAAACTTGTAATTAATTTACATGAAAAATCCCTAAACATTTAATATAATTTTTGATAAGTTCAATTATAATATATTTTTAGTTAATTATATTAGTACTGTTTTGTTTGATTATATTTTTAAGTAGTATTATTAGAAAATATGAATTACAATACAATAATCTATAACATAATTGTTATAAGACATACATCTTAATGAACATGTTTTTGTTAGCAATAATAAATTTTATTAACAATTAACACATTAACTGGTGGACCATTTAAATATCTCGCTTTGACAAAAAAAATACTTGTATTTATTTATAGCAAAATGTAATTTTATTCAAAATATTGCAATAAGTTGTAAATATTAATGAAAATCAATTCCGTTTGAAACGATATATTGGGCTAATTTTGACTTATATTCTCTTGTCTTTCGTCTCTTTATTTTTACAATAGTCTGTAAAACAAATAAGTGAATGAATCGACAGATATAACAGCAAATTAATATGCAATTAATATAACCAAAACTGTTGGTCGAAATGTTTACAAATATTAGTTTTGTTAAAAACATAAAATCGATAAATAGTAGCCCTTTAAGCGAATTGAGCCAAAACTGACAATTTCTCACTTTTCCACGACCTCTAAAACTATAGTAAGTTTCAGTTGTTATCAAAAGTAAGACAACGATTACAAGCGATGAATATAACAATGAAATCCAGTTTTCAATTATGTCTTCTACTGAATAGTGAGCTAAAAGATGTCGAAATGAGAGTATAATCATTAGAAACGAAATAATCATTGGATTAAACATAAATCCTTTGATTAATGAATTCACACCAGAGAAGGGATTCTCATCGGCTTTACTCATAGGATTCACAACTGATGTATTAGTCCTGTCTTTGGACTGGTTTTCTGACTTTTCGTCAATTGTTTTAATGTTTTTCGCGTTATTTGAATCACTTTTCACAAAATTTTCTTCAATTCCTTTCAATTTATTAATAGAAATCATAAAATTGTGTAATTCTTGAACACTTTGTTTTGATTCAAATCCAATGTCTTTAATAATATTCAAATCAATTGTTTTGAAAGGAATCCATCGTATCTTTAGTTCATTTGATGTCTTTATAACACCTTTTAGTAAATCAATTAATAAAGACTTTAAAGAAATAAATTCTTGGTTTGCCATAACTTTTAACGCAATATTTCTCATATAATTTTAGACATTCATTAAAGACATTGCATTTAATATAACAATTAAAACTATTTGTTTGTTGAATATATCCTATAAATTATTCAATTATTTAAATTCAAATCATTTCACTTCTTATTTCCGTTAAATCAACACAAAATTTTTGGATTGACTGCAAAATAAATTCAATTAAATCACGAATACTTTGCTCTCATTTAGAGTACAAAAAAAACAAATTTTCAAATCAATACTAAAATTAAATAACAATTTATGAATCGAGTATTAGTTTAGAAATGTATTAAATATATATATAATTGCATTATATTTAATGTAATCAATATTTAAAAAACTACAATTAAATGACTAATCCTTTCGATAATAAATGGGATGAATTGTTGCGATGAGTGACCACTTCTTGAGAGCACTCACACTGTGGCCAACGGATTGGGCGACAAATCAATGGCTGCGATCTCTCGAGCGATGATAACGCCGGCCCCGAAGAAGAGCCAACTCTTCACTAATTGCCTGTTTTGGGATCAAATGAGTCAGCATTTGGTCACATATTCACAAGACATGACTTACCACTGGAAGGGATCGTTGTATAACGCCTTCATCTTCTGGACCCAACCTCTGGAACCACTGCCACTGGTTCTCATAAACCACTGTCTCAGTGACTGACTTAAAGAATCGACAAAACGATTTAATATATTTAATTTGGTCCCCTCTTCAGCAACGAAATGGTTTGCGTCCATTTTGTCTTCACTACTTAATCACAATTTACTGATTCAATTGATCCGCAGATTCAGAGCACATGTGTTGACTCAATGACCGGTAATTATGTCTCAAAAATCAGTGTTAGTTTTGATGCGAAAGCCGTACAAAAGTATCGCATATTTTGGACATTACTTATGGTTTAAACTTTAAATGACATCAGTTTTGTCGGACAAACTGTCGTCCGGTCCCAAAGGGTTGGGTAATTATAAGCCATTGAGTGATCACTGCATCTGATTCTTGAGTTTAAAGTTTTATTTTCACTCATTTATGGCCACAAACAGGAGATCCAGAGGACAGGACTTTGCGGAGAGTGGAGAAAGAGATACTCATCCCTAAGATTATGAGAGATAAGGCGCGGACAGAGAAGTGCACCGATTTTGTGAAGGGTTTGTCATTTGACCGCTCATTGCATGACATGTATTGAATGGTTGTCTCATTCATAGCTTTCAACGATTGTTGTAAAGAGAATCCCATTCTTCTGGTGCTTAAGTGTCGCACAGAAAACAGCCGAATGAAGGCCTGTCTCACCGATTGGTATAATAACCAACACTTCCAACGCCAGTGCGAAGACATCTATTTGAAGCCGAGGTCAGAGTACAGGCGCACCGGTATTAAGGCTCAGACCAAACGCATGGGTTGACACCAATCACATCACTCAATATCTGGCACTCAATTCTTGTCATATTGTCTTTAATTGAATACAATTAGCATTAGTTTTAAGTAATAGTACATAAATTTTACACAAATAAAAACACTAAATATAAATAATGATAATAATAATCGATTATAAAATAGTAATTAAACTGTATTTTCAATATAAACTCTTGTAATGGTCTTCACTCGCAGTCCATGTGTTCATTGGGTGAGGAATCGCTTAATAGGTTCTGCCAAAGAGTCTTCGACGGGGAATAACTGAGTTTATATGAGCCAAACATATCGCTATCATCGCTGGTATTGAAACGATTGAAACTCTGGTTCTCTTTGAAACTGTTGTCGGAATTAATCAAATGTTTGCAAATCTCTTGCATTTTGTTCATAGATTTGGGGCAAACATATGAGCCGTTGTTAAACGGATTATACGGAGAAAACGATTGAAACTCTGGTTCTCTTTGAAACTGTTGTCTGAATTAATCAAATGTTTGCAAATCTCTTGCATTTTGTTCATAGATTTGGGGCAAACATATGAGCCGTTGTTAAACGGATTATACGGAGCCTTAAGCCGATCGTCGGTGGAGTCAGTGTTTTGAGTGCTGTAACCGATCTGATAGTGTCGGGCGAGACATAAGAAGTTGGACTCAATGTCCTGATTGCAGACCGAAAGAGGATTTAACAGACATTTGATTATTCTCTGAAAATTCATTGCTTTCACTCGTCTTAGACTTAAATTATCTAAATCTGAATGAATTGAACAGAAAATGTCAAATAAAATCTGACATAAATTGTAGAATATTTGGTCTTCAGGTGTCAACTGATGGACAACTCTATCGTTTTGGTCGATATACTTATGGATCCAAAGCGAAGTCGTATTCATGAAAGCCATCACAACATTAATTGTCACGAAATTCGCGTTTTTCAGTAAAGAACTCATAAAATACAGTGACTTCTCTCGTATGTCGAAAGCAGTCTCACTATTAAGACCCAAATCCCAGAGATATTCAATCAATTGCTCCATAAATTGATTGGAAAGCGAAGACATATAGAGCCAAATGAATGGCAAATGATTGGCCGAAACGACCGGAAATACTTCCGATGAAAGGATTTTGCGTAAAATAGTGAACAACTCTTCGTTTTCTTCTCTACTATTATTCGCAAACTTCTTGTTCACAAAATCCATCACTAATTGCATTAAATGGTCCAAAATGTCCACTCGTTTGTCATCACTCGTCTCNGGATTTTGCGTAAAATAGTGAACAACTCTTCGTTTTCTTCTCTACTATTATTCGCAAACTTCTTGTTCACAAAATCCATCACTAATTGCATTAAATGGTCCAAAATGTCCACTCGTTTGTCATCACTCGTCTCGGCTTTGGATGCGTTACAGTCGTCGATAACAAACACTTCTTCAGTGATCTGTGTCTTGGCTGAAGAGACGGTCGAATCCATGTCCGAGAGTTGATGAAAGAGTGTTGACAACAATCGGTGTTTATTATTGACATAATCATAGGCTTTAAGCATATTCTGGACATAACAGAGGTATGAATGCGTTGACGACATCCGCGAAAAGAAGGGAAACTTGCGTTCAATGGCTCTCAAGAAGATTGTCTCAAATTTGGCCACTTTTATGACACTTAACGCGGAATGCATTTCATCGAAAAGAGCCACTTCTTGGGGTTGGATCTGCTTCTCGGACTCAAACTGTCGAAAGCCGGCAAACAGTTTGCCGACAATCAGTGTTTGGATCAATTCATTGCATTTAATTGGCTTTAAATTAATGGTTTCTGACATCAACTCGAAGTACTTCTTCTCAATGGATCTGTCATTCAATTCAATTAAATTCA